CTCTCCCTTCTTCTCTCTGAAATCAATAGACATATTAAAAAAAAAAAAAAAGACCTGCTGCAGGAAGTCAAACAAGTCAAGCCAGGAGACAACAGAACCAATTACCATGAGTGCTGTGGTGTGATCGCATGCTAATCATTCGCCAAACATTGTTTACAAGCAATGACTCTTGGATTTAAATATATAGACTACAGTTGTAGATATGTAATATTTATTTATGTTGATGAAATTACTACAGTGTTTTTTCCAACATATGGCCTATTGGCTAAAATTTGTTTAAAATAACTGTGAATAAAAAAAAAATCTGTTAATTTAATTACAAGCAAATCTTGGTTAAAAGCATTTTAAAATTAACAGGGTGGCCCGGCTGGCCTGGCTCAGCAGTTGAGCATGGACCTATGATCCAGGAGATCACGGTTCGATTCTGGTCAGGGCACATGCCTGTGTTATGGGCTCAATCTCCAGTGGGGAGTGTGCAAGAGGCAACCGATTAATGACTCTCTCATTATTGATGTTTCTCTCTCTCTCTCTCTCTCTCTCTCCCTTCCTCTCCCCGAAATCAATAAAAATATTTAAAAAATATTTAAAAAAAATAAAAAATTTTTAAATATTAAATTAACAGGGTGTTAATTTTCACATATGAGATATAGACCGGAAATTCTGCCTGTTAAATCCAAAGTCAGTTAAATCAAGGTCTGCAAAATCGAGGGTTTACTGTACATGAAAACAAAAAGAATAGCCCAGCCAGAGTGGCTCAGTTGGTTGAGCATTGTCCTGTGTACCAAAAGGTTGCCAGTTCAGTTCCTGGTCAGGGCATATTATCTGGGTTGCAGGTTCAATCCCCAGTTGGGGCATGAACTAAAGTAAAGGCAACTGATTGATATTTATCTCACATCAATGTTTCTCTCTCTCTCCCCCCCTCTCTCCCATCCTCTCTCTAAGCATGTCCTTGGGTAAGGATTTAAAAAAAAAAAGAATAACGAGAAAAGAAAAAGTTTTAATAAGTGATATTTCAAACCTGTACTTGTTTCATCCGGTTTCCTTCTGGATCCTGAAGATCTTGCCTAAGTTCCTCTTTCATTGTCTTTAGTTTTTTTACAAGATCTTGTTTTTCATGGAGTTCAGTCACAAATGACCATTTGCTTTCTTCCTCCCTCCAACTATCTTTATGCAATTTTATTTTTGCATAGTATTCATTATATCTTATCGTGTGTTCCTCGAAATCTTCTTGGGCTGACTCTATGTCAAATTTAAGCTTTACATTTTCTGTATGTAAGGATTTGATTTGTGTTTCCAGGTTTTCACACTGAAGTTTACTATTCTCTATGGCAGCATCTTGCTGATAAATTAGCTTTTCTGTTTCTTTAGTTTCTGCAGAAATAGATGCTTTTTGTTTTTCTAGCTCATGAAGTTCATTCTGTAAAATATTTCAAAATTATTATTATCAATTCATGATACTCAACATGAAAGTCATATTTCTATCCACAGTGTGTGTAGGAAATCACAACATAAAAAAATATTGATCAGATATAGAAAAATTGATGTATAATGGAGGAAACATTCAATAATGTAACAAAATTATGTTATAATCTCAGAGGGGGCCCAATTATATCTTTCTTATTTTTAATGTTCATATAATTCTAAATATTAAAAATTTATCATTTGTCTTAACATTTTATATGTAAAAGATACTTTAGTAAGATATTTACATCAGAAATACACACTGAAGAAAGACAACATGATACAAGTGATAAAGCCCTGGGTTAAAAAATCAAAAGACCTAGGTTCTAGTTCCCTTACTATTATTTATAAGTTGGGATGATCATACATGGCAAACTTAATTAACCTATCCAAATCTCACTTTCTTCATTTGTAAAATGAGTATAAAGATGTCTACCTTACCTCTCTGGGCATTTGGGAGTTCTAGTAATCTTTTTATCTTTTTTAGTTTTTCAATTACAGTTGACATTCAACATCATTTTGTATTAGTTTCAGGTGTACTGCATAGTAGTTGGACAATAATATACTTTACAAAGTGTTTCCCCTGATATTTCCAGTACCCAACTGGCACCTTACATCATTACAATATTATTGACTATATTTCCTATGCTGTACTTTACATCCCATGACTATTTTGTAACTACCAACTGTACTTCTCAATCCCTTCACCTTTTTCACCCAGTCCCCCAGCACCCTTCCCCTCTGGCAACCATCAGTTTGTTCTCTGTATGTTTCTTATTTTCACATCACCACTCTTCTCTAGTTCTCCCCACATATCTCTGGGAATTCCTTCTCAGTCACAACGGTTCCTTCAAATGCAGGTCTTCCTTAGGGTGCAGTCATCATAATTTTCTCCTTTCATTCTATATATATTCCTTGGGTAACCTTATCCATACTTGCATCTTAAGCTCCGTCTATGCTGATAATTCAAAAAACTTAAGTGGCTGCTGAGTCCTACACCCAGCTGCCACTAGCCATCTCAAATGCATCACGCCAAAAATCAGACTATCCCATTCTGTTCTCCCCTCCATCCCATTCTGTTCTTCCCTCGCATCAGTGATGTACTGTCAGAATGATAAAACCTCAGTGACTTAAAAAATAAGTGTTTATTGCTCACATGACTGGAACAGTTGAAGTTGGCTAGATGTTGACCTTGGTTGGATTTGCTCAAATGTCTGGGGGTTGGCCGGCTGTTAGATGATTTGGTTTGGCTGACGGCCAGCGGGGGTCTCTTGCCTTTGCACCACATGTATCTTATCCTCCAGCGGGCCAGGGCAAGCATGTCCTTCTCATGATGATAGCAGATGTAGAAGAATGGAAGCCCAATTATGGAACAGCTTTTTCAAGCTTCTGCTCAAACAACATCTGCTCACATCCCAGCTGGTCACATAATGAAACTCACAGCCAAGGGGCAGATGTACGCGCACCCGCTACGGGAGGGCATTATAATCATACATGGCAAAGGGTCTGAATGTACACAAGGATGAAGAGTTGGGACCAAAATGAAAATTATCACACTCCTATTTTCACAAATTAACTAATGGTACTACTTTGGGAGCCATCCTATGTCCTTCCTTCTCTTTATTATCTAGATCTAACTGCCAACAGAACAACTCTGCAGGCCATCCTCCATCTTTTTTTCTATCTAATACGGTTATACTTTTTGAACACATAATTTTTGGAGGAAGTCACTGCACTAAAAAGCAGACCCAATCTATCCTCTTTCTGGCGAAGACAAGAAAGGGGAGTACAGCTAAAAATACAACATGCTGATGAATCTCAATCTTTATCTCCAGTTCACTTTTCTATTTCTATATCTAATAGACATGTCAACTATACATGTTCATAAAAGAAATTTAAATTTACACACTCAGCAAGTTCCTTCCCCAGTCTTCCAGATTTCAATAAACTGTACCACTTGCCACCTGAATACCCCCAAATCTAGGAGTCATTCTTAACTCTTCCCTTTACCTTACCCCCAACACCTTATTTACCTGCAAATCTTGCTGGTTTGGCCTCCAAAATAAAAGCCCAGATTCACTTCTTATCTATTTCTTTTTTTAGCACAGCCTAGCTTCTATTGATCTTCCTGTTTCCATTCTTCCCCCTGTACCTGAACTAGGCCCCATATATTAGGTAGAAGAATATTTTAAAATCATAAATCACATCAGGTTACTTACCTGTTCAAGATCCTTTAACAGTTTTCCATTGCATTAATAATAAATTCAAATAGCTAACATAGCTTACAGGGTCATCTATGCTCTAGTCTCTATCTACAGTTCCATCTTTCTCATATTTTTCTCATCCTCCAGACCCCTGTTTATTAAATATCCCTAGTTCTTTAAGGGTATTTGTAATTGTTCTAATTTAGAATTCTCTACCCCTGGCTATCACCTATTAGTGTGTTGTCTTTCACAACTCAGCTTTATCATTCATTCTCAGAACAGTCTTCCCAGAGTCAAAATATAATCACCCACCCTCCACCCCAGTTACTCTCTACACATTATCCTATTGTATTTCTTTTTTAACACATCAATCAATGGGGTAACCATCTTTTTATTTCTTTATTGCTGCCTTCCCTTACTATATAAAGTAAGCTCCACGGGTGCAGTAACCTTGTCTATCATTTTTTACCACCATCTTTCCAGCACCTGGCACAGAGCGGTGCTCAGTAAATATTTATTACCTGCATGACTAGTGATGCACGTGGGATGGTCAGGAAAGGGGCACATGTCCTGCCAAGATGATCAAGCTATTGACTCTATTGATTAATATGGGGACAGATGACATTTCCCCTGATTCAGTCATTATCTCTTCTTTCCTGGACTAGTGTAAAAGACTGTTTACTTTTCTCCCTGTCTTTAGTCAGTTCCTCTTACACTCCATTTCTCCTTCAATCCCTTTCATTGGAATTATATTTCTCCTATTGTTGCTGTTCTCCTTCCCCTTCACCTCACCTTCCCCTTCACGTCTCCTCCTTTCCTTTTTTGTCTCCCTCCCCCTTCTTCTTTCCTCTTCTCCCTCCCTCTCCCTCCCCCCCCCCGTTTTTGTTTGTTTACAGATTAA